TTAAAATGTCACCAACTCAAATTTTTATATCTAGAAAAGCACCATATAACTCACTTTGTGTATTATTAGCTTCTTTTATTATCCATCTATATTTTATATCAATTGGCTACCTTTGTTTCATATAAAGATCCTTAGATACAAGATTTATCTCCAAACTGTGGTTAATTAAAGCAACAACTGACTCATCCATATCACCAACCTTCATTAATGCCTTTGTAGTTGCTCTAGCCCAATGCTTAAGAGTATAATTATTTGAAACCTCTTTATTCTTATTACTTTGATCATCAAAACATATTCTTTGATTATGACTCTTTTCCTTACTTGATCATCAAAATGTATTCTTTGATTATGATTCTTTCCTTCACTTGCTGATTGTTTGCAATACTTACCAAATTCATCTTTTTCAACCTCATATAAGCATGCATCAATAGCATGATTCAATCTAGCTTCATCTTTTAATTACCTCTTTTATTGAATATTGTCAATAATGATATTATAGAATGATTTTTTTTCCAACTCCCAAAAACTCCTTCAATGTGAACTCAACCTTAATATTAAACACATGTTCTTCAAGCACTCTCTTTAAATCTATTGCTACCTTAATATGAGAGAATATTTTATAAATTATTGACTTATCTTTGTCTCCTATGTCTTCTATTTTTTCCTTTAATACTATTGAACTATCTTCCATTGGTAATTCTTGTAAAGCCATCTTACAAACTTTGTCTTCTTGAATTTGTCTCTTGGAAGTACTTCTTTCTCTTGTGTCTTCAAGATCTCACCTCTTCTTTTCTTCCATTAAATCTTCATGTTGGTTTTTAGCAATGTAGGCATGCATTGACAAAGATTTTACATGATTCTTCCAATTTATAGCTCTATAAATTATAGTAGCAATTTTCAAAAACATTTTTCATATCATCTTTTTTTTGCATTTTAAAAATAGTAAAAGACCAAAGTCCACTTGATATAATATTTTCAGAAAAATCTTATTTTCTATCATCATTTATTTTAGTATCATAACTTGCAGCTTCTATTCTTGTAACCTTATGTGTAGCCAAATAATCTTTAACCAATACTTTCACACTTTCTTTATCAAAGTTGGTTTAAAAAAGATTATCAATACCATCTTTCTATATTTTTAAAAAATAATACCGTATTATACCATTTCATCAAATTCCCTACAATCTTTTTGAAAATAAAAATTATCATTATATCAAATACATCTTTGCACATATCTTTATTTAAAAATAGTCTTGAATTTATTGTAGAAGTCTTCTTTTCAAGCTTTACAAGTTTAATTTGAAGATCTTGCATCTTATATATAATCTTCTCAAGTTTCATGCCTTCTTTTTTTAATATAGTCATTAGAGGTTGAACAATAGGTACTATTGATCATGAAGTAGGTACTTGAATTTTAGGTACTTGTTCAAAACTTTGAATTCCAATCTTTTCTTTTTTCTTTTCCCTCTTTGTAAGTAATTCTATAGCATCTTCAACTTCTTTCTATTTCATTATCTATCTTTCATCTTCTTTCTTATCCTCAAGAAGAATTTCTAACTTCTCTTGCAATTCTCTATTAGCTTTTCAAAGAAACAATTCAATCTTGTTTGGCTCTATAATTAATTTTTCTATCTTTAATAATTGAGAATATTGCCTCTTAAACTTTCTCAAAAGCTCTATAGCTTACAAATTCTTGTTAAATTGCTCAATTCATTCCAAAAATGATTTCTTGGTAATCCAATCAATATCTTTTGAAAAATATTTGTTTATTCATGTATATATATATATATATGAAATCCATGAATAATCCAATAAAAAAAAAAAAAAAAAAAAAAAAAAAAAAATCCATGAATCTCCAAAATGCTTTATAATTGATTTAATATATTTTCTTATCTTCGATATTATAGTAAGTCCAAATAATTCAATTATCTTCTTTTTGGAAATCCAATTTAATTCTATTTTTAATACATAATATCTCAAATACTTTAAAATATCTCTTCTATCAAATTAGTCAATTTTATTAATTACTATTCGTAATGCTTTGGTTGTCAAAACCTCTATGTGATTATTGCCCTATTATTGTTGTATAAATAATATAAATATGTAAAAAATATTTGAAATTTTTAGATCAAAGTACAAATCTTATTCACCAATAGAAAACCTACTTGAAGCTCTATCCAAAGCTCCATCAAAAACTCCAAATTCAACCTTCTTGTCTTTTTATGCCATCAATTCTAAATAACCACAAATACAATCCAACACCTTCTACCTCAAGCTTTAACATCAGATTTATTACTTATGTCATATTATGTATTGTCTTGTTTGGAAATAGACCAAGCACCTAGTTGTGGAAGGTGAAGTTATATTTTACAAGTATCCAAAAAACCTTAATAAGTTTAACCCATATAAAAAGAATTTAATTCAAATTTTAATTTAAAAGTAATTAAAACCAATAAAAATCTCTCAAAAATACTCTTTTTAGTAATCTCAATCATATACAAGCTTCAATTCTCTTACTACCTTTGTAATTAAGAAAATTTTAATTTTTCTTTGAAAACCCTAATCCTAATCAATATCTTCACTAAGCTAAAATTCCTAATTTGACCTTCTATTTGGTACAAAATTTTGCATACAAATGCAACTATATATCTTCTACATGCTCAAAAAAATTCAGTCCAATCCAACTTATAAATTTTGAGAAAATATCCAAAAAATTACACTGCTATCACTTAGTTGTTAACTTGAAAGTTGATACAAATATTCTAATAGTGATTTCTCCTTCTACAACTATTAACTTTAGCTCAAAATTGATGTATAGCCTAATCTTTAAGTCTTCTAACACTATGCCAAATTTTACCTTATTCCAATTAATAGATCTTTAGATATCATAGAACTCCTACACAACCTCAAACTATCAACTTCTGATACCATCTTCTACCAAAAACCAAATATCTCTGAATCGCATTATTGCATTAATATAAAATTTAACACACACTTTGCATGCCAAAACAACCAAGTACTATCAAATTTTGAACAATAGATGTGACACCAATTGCATGAACTAGTCAAAAATATTAGCTCTAATTATATTGCATAAATTCAAAGTCACCAATACAAATCCTAATTTTGAACAACAATTGCAAAGTCATATCAAATCCTTTGAAAAAAAACCTTATGCTTTTGAAACAAACTTAAAGATAGCTCTCTAATCTCAATCACTAATTTCCAAATACCTCTATATTTTGCCCTAGGTTGCCATTTCAATGGCTAGAGGTCTAATATTGACGATGTCTTAGAAATAGTTGACCTCCAAGTATCAATCCAATCTATCCTACAAGTTTTTTAGCCCAAATCTATCTTCAATTTAAGCTTAGTATCAATCATACTAATTATTTACCTCTTCTACTATGTTTTACTAATTTATGGCTTTTTTAAAGAAATAAAAGAATTTCGACAACCTAAAAAGTAAAATTATTAATCAACTTTCAATCTACTAGCTATCAAGACAAGAAAATAAACTAAGAGGTTTTTATAAAAGCTATGTTTAAATGTCTTGAATTATTATTAAATCAAGATGATTAAGATTTAATTAAAAATTCATTTTTGATTACATTTTCACCATATAGTCATGTTACAATATGACATTGTCTTGCCTTACTAGTATTTGATTGCCCGCTTTTCTTTGAATTATTGAACTTCACCTTCAATCATATTGAGTTGTAGAAAAAAATGAAGTTTTAATCGCATTTTCAATTGCATTTGGTTGCAAAATTACAAATAATATATGTATATATATATATATATATATATCCTTCTAAACTCCCTATGAACTTCTTGTGAACTCCTTATGAACTCCGCTTGAATGCATTCAGTTATAGAATTGCAAAAAATAAATGAGTCTTATGAACTCCTTATGAATTCCCAGTGAACTTTCCTTGATTTTTAATCAAGCTTTTGCTTCATTTCAAACCCAGACAACATTAAGTTTTTTGATGAAAACCAAGAGAGGTACATGCACTGAATGAGTGCTACTACTTGTCTCCTTAAGCAATCTTAATATATAGATTTATTAAAAACATTATTACTTAAAATAATTCTAAAATTTTACACTAAATCATTTTTTATTAAAAATTCATGCATTGAATAATGAAAATTAATCAATAAATCACTAAAGGTGCCATGAAGTTATGAGGTTGCTATTCTATTTTTGTGGTAAAAAGTGATGAAGATATATATATTTTTTAAGATATTAAGTTATTATTAGCTTCTTTGATTTTTTTTCAAATATATTATGTTGTATTTATTATTATTATTATTATTATTATCATTATTTATAAGAAATTAGTATTTTTTTTAATGATTTTTAAGTATAATAAATAATTTTAGACTCTATATCCAATTGCACATGTATATATATTTTTTTACTTGTCTTTTTATTATATCCAATTGCACATGTACATATATTTCTTTACTTGACATTTTATTGTGTTGTGATTATCTCAACTATAAGATTCCGAACAACGCTCTCAAACAGACCTCCGGACGTGTTGCAGCCCACATGACTGACTCCATCTTCGTTAGATGAGTGGGCCAGCTTAATTTGGAGGCAGTTCTGCGGAACTAGCCTCAGGTAAGTTAAAAAAACCCTCGTGCGAACACATGTTCTAATGCAGACTTTCAGGAGGTTCCTAGACTGCTAGTTATTTGACCCCAGCCACTTCTCAGAGAAGAAACGCAATATTTGCTAGTTGAACGATACGTGTTGGAGTAGTTCCGGACCATGTGCACGTCTGGAGTTTCTGATCGCATGTTTGCAACTATGCATGCATGTATGCAAGGTATTCACTGAATGCGTGACTCCCTGTTCCATCAGATTAAGATAATGCATCGAAGAACAAGACAAGTTGACAGAGCATGGCCTTCACGCATGTGCGTTACAAGTGAAGAATACTTTGAGTACGACGAAAGAATGCCACGATTCCAGAAAATGATCAGAGCTCTCAATGATAAAACGTTGTGTCTTACATTAAAGTGTACATGGACTGATATCAACACAACCATTATTCTTGAACCTAAACCCTAAACCTAAACCTAAACCCATGAGTCAAAAGAGACCAACGACTGCACCCAAGCATCTCATTACACATCTCATGGACCAGCTAGACGCAGCAATGCCAAACTTTTTTACATTAAAAAGAGCCACATTGCAGGAGGATATACGAAGCGTCGTTTCAGCTGCTCACTCCGGCAGGCCTCTACAATACAAGAGTTCATCTGCTTCAGCCAATTTAAACCTCCACATGGAGTCTATCGATCCCAAAGGCAACCTAAGCGCAAGCTCTGGCAGGACCCGTTGCTAAGCAAGAGACAGAGCTTGTGCAAATGTCAAAATTTGTAAGTCCCACTAAATTTTACTTCAAATGAAAAAAGAGACTCCTTGTAGTACGGCTAGAGGAAATTTGTTTCAGCAGTGTCTGGCTAGTTCAGAGAAGTAGTCCATTCTAGCATACACATACCATGTACAACCTAGCGTAAGAAAACAACCTGATTCTTAACTGGAAAACCCTGTTGTCTATGAACCCGCAGCTGGCTTCGCTTTCTTTGGTGCACGATAGGTGCCAACCACACAAGCATGGTCTCGCTCGAATGGCTCGAGTGTAACTTGCTCAGCGGGCTTGAACTGTTCCTTCTGCAACTTTTTAACCTCTGCGGCGAACACAGCCTCGGCAGGTACTGTGGAGTCAATGCAGTTAGCCTTGATTGAAATTACGAAATGCCCACCATTTTTCAGAAAGTTATGGGCATTGATGGCTACAATACGAGCCTGGTCAGGCTGCGCGACATCAGCAAAGATGACATCCACCATACCGACCAACATTCGGTACTTCATGGGATGCCTTGCATCTTCGATGATAGGGATAACATTGGTACGCTTCTTGGCCATGTTCACAAGGTCACGGCCACTACGGTGAGAGAATTCGACAGCGTACACAATACCGGAGGGTCCGACAACATCAGAAACATGAGACACGGTGGTTCCAGATGCAGCACCAAGGTACAGCACATGAGCGCCTGGCTTAATCCAAATATTGTCCACACCACCCAGGATCGCAGCAGCAAGCTTCGACCTGAAGGGGTTCCACACACGGTACTCCGTCTTGGTTCCGTCCTCATTGTCTACAGATATTCTCTTCTCTCCATACACGCTCTCCCCGGGCACAAGATTCTTCGTCACGAGCGCGTCTTCCTTAGCCTTAGCAACGAAAACACCCTCGTGTCTGTGAGGCTCAATGATGACCTTGGCTCCTCCCTTCATACCACCGCCTCGTCCTCCACCACCTCCTCTGCCACCACGGCCTCCTCTGGGAGCTCCACGACCGCCTCCTCGTCCTCCTCCGCGCCCTCCTCGGTCACCGCCTCGGCCTCCACGGCCTCCTCCGAAGCCGCGACCACCCCCACGACCTCCTCCGAAACCGCCATCGCCTCTTCCTCCTCGGAATCCTCCTCCTCCTCTCGTCAATGGCGGTCTCATGGTCGCTAGACTTCGATTGAAACAGCAACAAAAGGCAATTCTGAAGCGGCTACACTGCAGCAGAATCCGGCAGAGAAAGATCAAAACCAGATATTCAATGTAAGAAGGTGATAAAATGCAGCTGAGAAGAGCGTGGGCATGAGTTGCCGAGTCGCCACGAATTAGGGTTTTGAGGTTTTAAGAGCTGTAAGCCGCCTTTCGTTTCCTTCAGTCGCCAGCCCCACGATCGTGTTCACACCACCTACATATTTTTTTTATTATTGAAATTTATTATAGGTACAAATTTTGAATTCATCAAAATTTGGTATATACATATTATTGCATATAATAGTAATATAGATATTTCACAGAAATTTAGGTAGAATTAATATTGGTCCAATCGATTGATCAAGTGTCCAAAGTTCTTACAGGTTTCCATTTTTTTTATATAAATATCATCACTTCTTATTCAGTATAATTGCAGTGTACATTCTAAAGTCTTTAAAAAGCAAGTGAAAACCAATCCTTAAAGTTGCAATTGGAACACACTTTGGTACAATATCACATAAAAATGAATAATAAATATAAGATTAATCATTAATTTTTTTTAGTTATATATTTTCTAAACAAGGAATTAATAAAAAAAATAAAAAAAAAGAAATGCACACAATTAGAGCTTGTTTATATCTAATACTTGGCTTAATATATGGCTAGGAATTTATAATTCAAATCAAATGTGTGTTATTTTTCCACCATTAAGCAATAAAGCATCATACTTGTAAAATGAATATATAAATAGTTGATTGCATTGGATGCTAAAATATGACTTGTTTGTTTTTTCTATCTATTCATGTATTACAAAAACAAGTATTTATATCCCTGAACTATTTGTGAGATATTTATTCAAATTACTTTTGTATTTGTAGACATTAATCATAAAATAAATTTTACTATATATATGCCCATTTATATTTTCACATGTCAAATAAATATGTTGTTATTAGTACATCTTTTAAATATATTTACTTTACATTGTTTACAAAGTTACAAAGTATGTTTCTAAAGAGTGGTATATGTTAAGAAGCTTGGTATTCTCTACTTGGTGAAAAAAATTGTCTTTTTTTGTTTTTATTTATTTTTATACAAAATAAATAGATATTTATTTATAAAATGAGTACAAAAAATAAAATAATTTACTAAATTTGGTAATAAATAAAAGTTATAATATAAGACAAGATTAGACTATATAAAAGACTAAATTGGACCAGACTAGGCACATGCAATGCCAAAGGGAATTCCTATTAAATATTGGAGTTAAAATATCATTTCTATATTGCTAAGACATAAACTTTCTTCTATCCTTATATTTCTTCAAAGAAACTTACTTCTACCATAATCAAATAAATCAAATTATATTTATTGAAGGAATTTTATAGGAGTCTAATAAATATTGTTTGGTCGTTGTATATGGTCCATCAATCTTTCTACATGATTTATTGGTATCTATGCATGATAATTGGTATTTTTATATAGTCATTACATCAATCAATGTTTTATCTAAAATTATATTTTATATCAAATTACTTACAATATAAGGTAGTAGCATCTACAACCAAACTCTTAAAGATATTTATTAGGTATAAATTTCCAAAAAAAGTTGTTCATAATAATCCTATTGTAAAATCTAAGCTTCTAATAAACTTACACTTTGACAACATACTAGTCCACTTTCAATTAAGTTTATAGAATAAAAAGTATATACATAGAGCATTGTTAGTAAAATAATCTTAAACTTATTATTAATACCAATCTTAGTTGTATTATGTAGACTAATTGTCAAGTAGTATCACAATGCTTTCACTTTGAAAAGAGGTTATGAGGTCTAAAAACAGTTTATTTTGTTGTATTTAATCAAATTAGATTAAATAGTAGTTATTAGTAATAAAAATAATTGTAATATGGATTATTTAGGTTTAATATGTATTTTTTCTATTCTAAAGGTTACATAGGCCAGCTTATTAAATTAATAAAAAAAATAGGAAAGAAATTAAAACTTGAATTAATCAATGCAGTATATCTTCTAAAATTAGAATCTAAAATAATAATTTGGAAGCTAGGATAGACTATAATAGTCTAACATATTTCTAAAATTCCATATGATTAAAAATTAGAATTAGAAAGAACTTCAACAATTTCTTATAACTATTAGTTTTTTATTTTAAAAAAAAATCTTTGTAGATAATTTGGAATTCTAAATTTAAAATAAATAATTTTATATTTAAATTTTTTTATATATTTAATACAAATAAAATAATGTGAATTCTAAAAATGACCTTTTTGGTACTTATTTTCTAATTTCTTAATTAATTCTATCCAATTATAACAAAAAAAATCTTATATTCAACATTTCAATTATATTAATTCTGGTTCAATCCATAATTTGTATCTTATAAGTAAATTATTTTAAATTTAATTGGCTCTTTATCTTAATTTTTCTAATTTCTTCCAAATTCATGAAATGATGTATTTAAATAGGGCATTATGATTTAGCCTTGGCAAATTTCTTGGCTTGATTTTGAAGTTACAAATTTTGCCCTTGTTATTGTGGCTTTGCTAGATATCATCTTTTCACACTCTTCTTTCACTTGGATCTTACTTATTCTTGTTCTTTGGCTTCTAAGCCATCTTCATCTCTTTTTCTTATACATATCATATTGTGGACATTTTTTTTTTTTTTTTTTTTGGGTCTGTTAATAGATGTTTTTTGGACATTACCATCATTTTTTTTCTTCTCATATATATATATATATATATATATATATATGTTGTTTAAGCTTCTTTTTTAAGGAGTTTGAAAACTATTTAGGATTTCTAAACCAAGTTATATTCTATTTTTTGCCAATGTCTTTACTTCAACTATTACCTAACTTCCAACTCGACAAGCTCTTGCAGCTCCACTCCAATGGCTTTTACCGCACCTTTATTGTATTATTATTTGTCTTTCATTCTTTGGCTAGCTCCACTAGTATCATGGTAATGTTCCCTATACCAACTTGAACTTAATGATTACCTCACAAATTACTTTTTTTATTGGTGGTGGTTGGTGGTGTTTGTGTTGTGATGCAATTAATAGATAAAATATTATATTATAAAAGATCTTATTTTAAAATACAAAAGAAAATTACTTTAAAAATATAAATAATCATTAAAAAGGTAGTAAAAATAATTAGCAATAATAATGCTTTTTTAAAAAAATAAATTTAGTTAAGATTTGAATAATATTTGAATATGATTCTTTTAGAATTTTATCAAGGTTCGATTAGAATTTGGTTAAAATTTGAATAGGATTTAAATAGGATTTGATCATGATTTGATTGAAGTATATTAAAGATTTATTTGGATTTATTTAGAATTAATTAGAGTGCAATGAAATATATCTTGGATTTTTTTAAGGTTAATAGGATGTATTTAGAATAATTAGAAGCTTTCTTATGTTGTTCAAGGTTGCAAAAGGATTTTTTTAAATATGTGGTGTATTGTTTTGGATTGGAAATCAAACTTCAAGGTAAAATTAAACTTTTCCAGAGCCAGATTTTAAGTCATTTTTAAGTTAGTTTTTACATATTACAATAATAGACGACCTTGTTGCTACACCTTTGTTATTTTTGACTTTACTACCATCAACAAACTCAATCTTTATTAGTGTCTTTGCCATTTTCTTCAATTATTGCTATAATTTTAAAATCATTATCTATGTTATTGTAATTTAATGCTATCCCATTAATTAGCCATTTATAGTGTCTTGCTCTTTCATTTTTATTTATTTGCTCATATTAATTTTTATTATCACATTAATATAACTACATAGGAACCATATAGAAAAAGAGAGCAAGCCATTGAAGTTGTCATTGATGTTGAAATTAGTCTTTCTCTTGATTAGATGGCATTAATGGAATTATAAAGATTGTATTTCCTCTTCTATTTTTTTTTTTTTTTTTTTTTTTTTTTTTTTTTGTATACAAGTAGTGTTGTTAAGAAATGAGTTGGATTTAGAATTACTTTTTACTTCATGAGATGTATGAGAAGAAATTCAATGTAGAATCTTACTTGTGCTACAAGATATGTTGTTCACATCTTGTTGATCCTCAATTTCATTGAATAGAAGCTTAATTTCTAAGATTTAATATGCTCATGGTTTTATAAAAGAAAGAAATAACGAAAGAAAGAAAGAAAGAAAGATAAGAAAATTTTATTTTGAGGTAGAATTAAAAAAAAATATGAATTTTTGAAAATTAAATTTGGAAATTTTATACCTTAATGTGTGCTTAGATAGTTGACATCAAAATTCCAGTTCAATTGTTTATAATTTATAATTATTTATTATTATTTATAGATTTTATTTATTTATTTTATGAAATATTTTAGTTTTAATATAATTATTTATCTTCTAATTGTTTAAAATTATAAATTTATTTCTAATTTAACCTAATAATTTAATTCTCACTAGGATTGGTTTTGTTTTTTTTAATTTAACTTTAAATTCAAATTAAAGATTAATTTAAAAAAAAATTTCTATCATAAGAATAAAAAAAATGAAAGATAAAAAGATAAAAATTTAATATGTAATAAAAAATAAAGAATAATAATATAAAATAAATAAAATATTTATTAAATAGAAATAACCTCAAATAAAAAAATAGTTTTATTAGATAAATAGTTTATTTGGAATGATAGTGGTTAAAATTTACTTTAGACTAGAATATATTGCATAATGAAACTACAATTATTAAAGGATAAGAAGTAGACACACCTATATAATACTAAATTCTAAACCTCTAAATCTTTTACATCAAATATTAGAATTTTAAAATGAAAGTTAAAGTTTTTATATCTTCTAAATTAAAATATTAAAAAATATTTATATATATTTACTATTGGAATTAAAATTTTCAAATATAAGAAGGTAGATTAAGCCAAAATTTTAAAAATAAAAGAATAAAAATTCACAAATATCTACGTAATACTAACTTATAAATCATAAGTTTTAAATCTTAAATTTTGAATTAAATTTAGAAATTGAACAAGTTAAATAATTTAAGTATATACTTATAATAATCTCATTGGTTAAGTTTTTTTGATATAATCTAAATTTGATATTACTATCTTTTTATTTTATTTTAATTAATATAAATATCTTATCTAAATTTAATTTTTATTTCTTACAAACTTATGAGTATATCAACTATTAAATTTTAGCCTATATTAAAAGATATTCTTTTAATAATACATTGAATAATACATTTGATAATGATATTATTCTTGAGTACTTTCTTATATCAAAAGTAGTAAAAGATATGAAGTTGCTAAATTCATTTCGTAATGAGGTCAAGCTTTAGCATCTTTATATAAGTAAGATAATCAAACATGTAAAATTATCCAAATGATTTGATAATAATATCAAGCTTTTGTTCTTACTTATATTTAAAGTATTTAAAGATATAATATTGCTTAATTTAATTGATAATATTGTCAAGCTTGAACACTTGCTTATTCTTAAGATAATTAAAGATGTAAGGTTTTTAAATTCATTTTTTAATAATGTTAAGCTTTTGCATTCGCTCATAAAACAAATAGTCAAAGATGTCAAATTATAAAATTTAATTTGGCAATGATGTCAAGCTTAAGAATTTTCTTATTTTAAAAGTATTTTTTTTTCATAATGTCCAATTAATTTAGAAATAATGTCATGCTTTTGTACTCATTCAAATTCAAAGTAGTCAAAAATATAAGATATTTCAATTAATTTGGTAATAATTTCAAGCTTTCATACTCACTTAAATCAAATATAGTCAAAGATGTGAAATTCTCTAATTCATTTTATAATGTTGTCAAACTTGAGTACCTTCTTATATCAAAGTTAGTTAAAGATGTGAGGTTGTTCAATTCATGTGATAATGAAGTCAAGTTTGTCCATCAATTTATATGTAAGGTAAGCAAAGATATAATGTTATTCAATTTACTTGATAATAGTGTTAAGCTTAAAAATTCTTACATATTTAAAATATTTATTTATAGATTTATTTTGGATCTTTTAATTTCAAGTTCTTATGACTCTATATTTTAATTTCAAATTCTTATGACTCTATATTTAATTTCAAGTTCTTATGACTCTATATTTTATAGACAATGCTAGAATAGGTTATAATATCTTATACATTGGTACATATATGATATTACTGAATATGCATGAAAATCATTTCAAATATTTTTAATACAATATAAAAGGCCAAAGCTTTTTATTGACAACATCCATCAAAATCAAGATAAATAGTCTATAAATTACTTACTATTAAAAAAAATAGTAAAGTTTCTATTTCATTTTTTTATCCTTGATTATAAATTCTTTGTATTTGTAGTACTAAAAAAATATAAAATTAATAAGAAATAGATTCAATTCAAGAGTTATTATTTCTTGAATTATTAGAAAAGACATTGCAATTGTTACAATCTTTAAGATGATATAATAGAGATGAAGATAGTCAAAAATAGCATGTATCAAGGACATAAATCTCAAAGAAAGAAAACCTCAATACATTCTTATGTCACTCAAAAAAACTAAAAAAATCACTGTAAGATCATATGGTATTAAACTAGAATGGCTATTATTCAAGACAAGATTATAAAGTCTTCAAATAAGGCTAAGAACTAGAAAGGCATTAACAAGAGTAAAGAAGGCTTTTCTCTTGCCTCCATATATACTCTTAACAAGTTGCCTTAGTATGAGACTCTATCAATGGCTAAGAGGACCTATCAAGTACCTTCTAAGAGAACAACGATTAAAATATGTGGCTAATATAATTTGTTGCATTTTAGACTTCATCAATATGTGATCATCATTGCTTTTGGAATTTATTTTTAGAAAGATGATAATATCATAGAAATACATATTTATTCCAATAAATAATTACATTATAAGAGTAGAAAAAATTAATTAATTTGATAATATCTTATAAAAAAGTTTTTAAAAAGCTTCATAAAAACAACTTTTCTTTTATACAAGCTTGTAGGTAATTAATAGATTGAAAAATTTGCCAAAAAATTGGCTACATGTTGCACATATTGGCCATTTGTGATACAAGTTGGATATAGGTATATATAAAAGAAGCTTATTGTGCAAATTAGATATTGTCTTGCAAATTAGATACTTGTTAGAAGTCTTATAGAATGTTGTCAAATAGCTTATAGTTAGATAGTATGTACTTCATTCTTGTTAATTTCTTTCTTGCTTCTAGTCTCTAATAATCAAAAGTCTCTAATTTTTTTTTTATCTTTTATCAATAACTATTTTATTTATTTTTTGAATATATATATATATATATATATTTTAATCTTTATTTTTTATGAAACAATTAACTTATTTATTTGCTTTATTTGAATTCTTGTTGTTGACATCCTAATTATATACCAATAAATTTCAAACTTCAATAAGATTACATTAAACATTGATCTTGATTTAAATTTTTTACGCATTTCAATTTATTAATTGACAACAATTACATAAAGTATGAAGATGATAAAATCCACAAATTGAAAGGAAATGCTATTAATTTGCTTGGATGTTGGTTGTCCTCCTTTTCCAACATCAATGCAAATCTTTCAACCTAAATATCTTATTTTTGAATTTTTGAATTATTTTTAATATTTTCATAAATATAAATAACTTAATTAATTATTAGTAGAAAAATAAAATTTTCTAATTCAACATGCAAATTTTTCAAAATCTATTAAACCCTCATTGACCTTATAAACTCAATTTTTAACTTCTTAATTTATTTAAACATAAATTATTTTTGATTTGATTGTCTAATTGAGCTTAAATTTACAAGAAACATTTAGCACAACTACATTCTTAAATGTAAAAAATTTCACTTATAGATCTACCACAAAATATACACAGTTCACTAAAATATTTTTTCTTTTTTTATTTATTATAAAACATAGTCATTCAAAATAACCCTAACTTTACAAAGCTTTCACAGAGTTATTATGTGGTCAAATCCCTCAAAATAAATTCTCAAAAAATGCTCTTTAAGTTTGCTCTCAAATTTTGCTCTCTAATCAATAAAATGAACATCTCAATTATTGTAGGTGTACAATTTTGTGCTTTATCGTTTGGTTTTGATCTTAGTTCATAATTGGCCTTCTCCAAGTATCAATGTAATATTTATCTAAATAATTTTTGCTAAAAGCTACTCTTTACTTCCACCTCAAGATGCCTATATTACTATATTTCCTAATTTACCTAATTTTGTTTTGTTTATTATTCTACAAAATAAATAAAATCATTTATAATAAAAATAAAATATTAAAATTAAATGTTTTTACTACCTCAACTTCTATCCATGTTTCTAAGATAATTTGCTACTCTATTTTAAAATAAGCTCTTCTATAATATAATATATATTTTTTTTCTCTTTCACCCAATAATTGTGCTAGAAAACGACAACATTATATTATTATTATTTTTTACACTTAATTTTACAAGATGGATAAAAATTGATAAAAATTTAATAATATGTGATAAATTTTTGCTTAAAAAAGAAGACAACCTAACAAGTTATAGATTCTTTGAATCCTTTTATTTAAACAATTACTTAAGAATTTACGTCGTCGCGCTACCTGTGTGAGCCCAATAGACGACCCGTTAAAACCCAAAGGATGGTGTCTACGACCGACGGACACAGCCAGTGGGAGTGCACGAATGGATTGCAGCTAGAGCTGCAGCAAGAACTTTCACTTCGGTGCTGCCCAGCCCCATCTGTTGTCTCGGCACCAAGCTTTTTGGTGCCATTGAATCTAAATCGCCGTTGATTCTGTGTGAAGTATGTGCCGATGTCTTTTATGTTTTCTGACAAAAGATGCTCTCTTGTTCGTGAGCTGTTCTCCGCAGTGGAGACTCTCAATTCCGTTTCGATTCATGCAGCTTCGCTTTGAGTCCTCCTCCCGGTTTTTGTTCATTTCGCAATGGCAACTCCTATGGCGACCAGGTCCTTCTCTGCTATCTCTGCGTGCTCCCGCAGGGCTACCTTTTGTAGGCCATGGGATTCCCTTGGTTTCGGGAATTCATATGTAGTTCGAGGTCGATGGAAAGGGCGGTGCAGTCTTGGTATGCACAGGCAGTTCGTGTCACACGGGAAGAACTCGGCGTTGGAGGCAGCGAGAGCTAGCGAATTGGAGGTCGTTTTTCAGCCTGGAACAGTTTATGAGGGGTATGCATATCTTACCTGTTAGTTCTGCAATAGTCCTTTGAATTTTTCTTTGTTCTTCCTCGGCTGTAAGTCGCACTGCTGTTGACTGCTAGGGTTTTTGAAGGGTTCAAGGTTGTTAGTTGAGAGTAATCAAGGATTGGCTCTGGAACAAATCAATTTAAGCTAATTATAGAGGTGTTTCTCTTTGCATCTGCCAGTCCCTACAATCAACCAGTGAAGTTGCGAGAGAATTCGTATTTTTTTTGTTCCAGAGCAATACACACCACCCGAGTGCATTCATTAATTTCTATTAGGCTCAAAAGAATTGAACGTTAAATCTTTTTCATATTGAAAATTCTTAGGAGAGAGAAAATAGGGGCGAGATAATTAATCACGTGAACAATCACTCGACCGATCGCAGTATGTCTATTGGAGATTAGCAACTGTGAAAAGTTAATGTATTTTCTTAAAAGTCATCTAAAAGAGCACTGCAGAAGCATTATCGAAGATTTTTAGGTATGGTTTAGCTTGGCATTATCTGCGCTCAATGTCTGTGAAACAAGAATGCGTGCTGCCTACATTGGCTATGGAACCCGGCAGGAGAGATTTAACAAGAAATGGTGGAAATTTTAACAGTTTAGGGAGGCTAGATGAAGTATGAACTTGTCATCAGTGTAATGTGCTGGGTGTTTGTATTTTTATGATATTATCATGGTTTTATCTTACGTTGCATTCCGTATTCAAGTGTGATTGTGGTTATTTATCTAACATATGTTGAACTTCTGAATGGATTACAGGCCGATCACGTACGACCGACTGATGCCTTGCCCCAATTATAGTTTGCCAGCTCGTGTGGAGCACTTGCTGATAGAGAAAGATGGGAATATTGTTGATATCATCTGTGAAGAACTTTCGCTTCCACCTTTGTAAGCTTTCTCGAATCGGAATATCCTCCAGCCAACTATGGTGATGTTACTGTCTGAGGATTTTGCATTAAATTGAAGATTCCTTAAATGTATCTTAACATCTCTGCCCATCTGATTTCTCATGAGAAGGGCGACAACATAGAAGGTAGTAATTTGGGTGTGTTTCATCATTAATTAATTCCATATTGTGATCCATTCTAACATGATTCAACTGTAGATACGTTGTAGATCTTATAAGTTTTGGAGCTGTCTTTTATGCCCTTGAATGCCCAACACCACCACCTCATGCTTCTCCCGAACAGCTTGAGCTCTACAATAGACAAGTTAAGCTTCGAGCTTCCAGGAAGAAAGAGCGATTGTCGTTGAAAGGAAAGACGTTGAAGGAAGCTCAGAAAACCTTTAGAATTGCAAGTCCAAGTGAGTATATTGAATCAGGGACTTACTTAAGAGTGCATGTTCATCCCAAACGTGGGCCTAGGTATTTCCTGCTCTTTGCGTGAGATTCAATGATCTTTCGCCCACATTTTCTCTTTTGATGTAACTATTCTGAAGGGCAAATTAAATTTCACTTGCTTTTGAACATTGATGCTACACCTTTTTTGGTCTGAAGTTTTTGATTACAGCATTATGCATCTGTCTCAGGAAGTCTTCTTGAGGGGATAGTGATTGTTTCTTTCTCAGGTTAACAGCGCCAACTACATTCAACGATTTAGTGTTGGATTTTTGAGTTTGTGATGCAGGGTGTACGAAGTTGATTGGTTGTCCAGGGTAATTGCTGAAACAGATTCTTTTGTGGTCGTTGACAAGCCTGCCGGTGTCTCGGTGAGTTACTTGACATCTCCATGTTCAAGCAGATTACTAATGTCATTTCCGTCGAGCTAAAAATTGTCGCAGCTCATGGGGTTTTATTTTATTTTATTGCATTTGGCTTTTTGCTTTTTATCTCTTCGTCTAGTGCAAATTATATCCATGACTTCAAGTTTGAGGTCCATGATTTAGATAACTAGTGACCAATTATACTTCGCTGCACCCAAATAACCTCTTATCGTGCAATGTCACATTTGGGTAGGTTGGAGGCACAGTAGATAATCTGGAAGAAATGTGTGCGACATTTGTCAGCCGAGCTTTAAAACTTAAGAAGCCACTCATCCTTACTCATCAAATTGATACGTGTACTGAAGGATGGTTAGTATTCTCCCCGTGGATGCATATGTCTGTTAATTACATTAGTTAAGCCAATTTGTCGCTTGGGAGATATTATTCAGGGCTCTGTTTGCGTACAGTTCGAGGTATAATCAGACGATTCGATTTCTGGTTTTTCTTCATGTTATGTTGCCACATGCACTTTGATCTACACTAGCAGATATTTCTAAGGTGGAAGCTAGTAATTGGGGATTTTATATACCGTCACGAAGCTGTAGAACCGTTTATGCGAGTATGCACTCTCTTTGACTCACGAGGTTTTGAACCTCCATTGCAGCGTTGTTTTCGCAAAGACGAAGGCTTTTTCGACCCACTTTCATATGCTCCTACGGGTTTGCATCGACACTCTTGGATTGTTAATTGTGACCTTTCAATTTTCATGTAGGACGGATGCCCCACTAGCATATCTCACGTGTTCAGGAATCGTGGGCTCATGAAGTTTCTTCATGACGTAAGGTTTTGAATTTGCAGAGCTGCTACCCGTGATTGAGGGCTCATCTGAAGCTAAGCTTGGTCATGTATTGGTTATGTGATCAGGAAAGGAAAGTCAGGAAGGAGTACACAGCTTTAGCAGCTGCACCTGTTGCTCCTGGGCACCACGTTCATTACATGCGATCAGACCGTTATGCCCCTCGAATGGTTAGCAATAGTAAGTAGACTTATCAGATTACATTCCAGAGTTTTATTTTGAGGAGCAACATGTGATACAGAAAACTTGTCTTCATGTTCATAGGTGAGAGGTTGTTTCGCTTGTCACAAGTTGTGTTAGGTTTTGACTCAACGATGTGAAAATCACCCTGTAGCAACTCGTTTTCTAGGGACTTCTTTACATTTAGAGATGCTGACATTACCCTCATTCTTGTCCAGATGACTATTCTGATTGGATGAACTGCGAGTTGAACGTTTTGGGTTGTAGGCAGGTGAAGTGGCCAAGCTCTTCTGTTGAGAAACAGTTTCGTATTGCCCATTGTGGTTGGGAATCCCGTGAACATGCTTATGAGTGCAATGTGCGTCTTCTAACTGGACGGACACATCAGGTAACGTTTTCTCTATGGTTGCTGTCCACGATTACATACTAAAGCTGGTTTTGCACCATTGATAGCCTTTGGCTGACATCAATGAACTATCCCACTCCCTCGCTTGAGATTGAAGCTTGCTGTTAACGTTTTTAACCTGTGTTTGTAACGCCTTCGCGTGTACATTTTCTGCAGATACGAGTTCAGTTTGCTGCATTAGATGCACCGTTAGTGGGTGACTCAGTCTATATGCCTTCTGTGGTCGCGCGAAAGAAGTCTCCAGAGGTTGACCCCTTTCGTGCGGAAAGTATGATCCAAGATGAGGGGTCTTGGAACAGTGCTATAGAAAATTGGCGAGATCTACATGGGCTGGAGCCTGTATGTGGTCTCGGTCTCCAAGCTTCTGTGATCTCTTGGGAAGGTGAAAAGCAAGTGTTTAAAGCAGGACGCCCGTGGTGGCGCTAACAATTAAAGTAAACTCATTCAATAGTCTTCCACTTAAACAGCAGCCTCTAACCAATATTGGTTTTATGATTTATTATGCATGTTTTATGTAGGCCTGGGCTTTGGGAAGGATTATTTTTAAAGTTTTGCGACACGTAGCACTTGACCAAATCAGCTAAGGGTTACAAAATTGAGCTTTATGCCCGTGGATATCGCGATCAGTTTACCAGGCTGGTGAGGATTTTCTGTAGTCTGATCTCCCATGTTCTGCTCTTCGTAGTTATTACAGCGTATTATGGATCTTTCAACATTGCAGATAATCCACTACAAGTGGATGACAAGTAACATAACCATCACATTGGAATGTTCATTGGAATTGTTTGTGATACTTGAATATTCTTCAAGATTTTTTAGGTATAATTATTGTAAAATTTAATTATAAATAAAAATATTCACTTTGACCTTGTTTTTAATTACATACAAATATATCAATATAATAAAATGATTTCACAGACTTAAATCTTATTCATGGCAACTTATGATTACAATAACATATTCTAACAAGCAAAAATATGAGTGAAATACATGTAAAATCACAAACAAATGCAATGATATAAAAAAGAGACAATTAATATAATTTAGTGAATAAAGAGTGCAATTTATATCTTCTAATTAGTTAATAAATCTAAAAATTAACCATCTGACTATTCTACCAACTAATTAGCAATACATATAGTCATAAATAAGAGAAATGTAATTTGATTCTAGATTATTTATTTATTTATTTATTTATTTTATATTGCTTTCCATTGCTTTGTATGCATGTATGTATGTATAATTTTTTTAATCATGTGTAATTTAAATTTTTACAGTATAAGTTCTTTAAATATTTTATTTTATTTTATTTTTTGTTATCCTGACTAGCTGTTTTCAAAAGTCTTCTGAAAGTTAAAATAGAATTTTTCACTTAAGTACAAAAAATTACTCATTCCAACACATTTTGTGTTGTTTTTAATTACCAATTTCACATTCAAGTAAAATTTACTGCAGTAGAAACATGTGTTGTACTTCAAATATACGTATTTTTTAAAATCAAATAAAAGGGACCCATCTCGTTTTCGTTTAATATCCAACAATATGATATTTCATTTCTCAAGCTAACAAAAACCCACAACAATACAACCCTAGTTTGGATGAACAAGGAGGAAACCGGAAAGAAATGAACTAAGCCAAAGAAAAGTCCCCTTCCACATGCCCTCTTCATCTTTTCACGTCATCCATATATATCATCCAAAAATTATTCATCGATAAATTCATCCATAGATGAAACAGTCCATGGGCAGCAGGTAGAGTGTTTCGTTTTGTTTTGTTTTGTTTTGTTTTTTTTTTATTATTGCAAATAGGGTATTATTTACGGAACTCACAGCGAAGGCCGTGATGAAGAAAACAAGGTTGCAGTGAAGAAATGGAAGTGTAATTGACGGCGCTGTTTGGGAGAATTGTACGTGCGACTTGTTTGCCAGATTGCTTTGCAGCAGTTTCGAATCCGGTTGGAAAATTTTGTGGGTTTTGGGAGGAGGGGGTCGAAAGGGATGGCAAGGAGAAGCTGCGTGTGTGGAATATGCGAGAGCGTGAACTTGCCCTCCGTTTGCTCTGCTTGCATCAATTACAGGTACTCTGCGCGCAAACATGGGCCACTGGGAATCAATTGTAGGGTTGTGAGGAATGGTGAAAGGGAGGGTGCTGCGATGGGTTTTCGAGGATTTCGCCAGAACTGGTCTGATGAGGGTGGGTTCGGATGGTTTTGGATTTTAGGCTGCTAGAGCGGTACAAATTGTTGAAGAATTTGGCGCAGGGCCGCGACTTCCTTCGCCAGCGCTTAGATGAGAAACTCATTGCTAAGGTGCGCAAATCCTCGCCTCTGTTTCCTCGCTTTGTGGATGGCTAGGTGCTCTGTTAGGGGTTAAATCAATTCAAGGACGTTTGGAATTTTAGTGGTGGGTATGATGGCATCGGCGTTCTTGTAAGGAGGTTCCTTTTGGCACTGGAGAAATTATGAAATAGGCGATGGACTATGATGCAAATTAGGTTTATGCAATATATTTTTTTTATATAAAGAACTTTCTCTTCACATGATTGGGAATTTTTGTGTTCATTTTGTTTGAGGGTCTAATTCTGCTGGGTGTTTGGTTCGACTGGGCAGCGAGAGGCTGAGCTCCAGCAACACTGGCGTGTGGAGCACGCAGAGCGCAGGGCGCAGCTGAAAGAGCGCCTGCGGCAGTGTAAAGAAGATTTTATTCAAGGTATGTTGCTGCTGCCAGTTCAGGCTTTTAATGAAACAATCAGTCTATTTTTATGTAGACGAAGCATAATTGCGGGTATGAAAATTGGTTGCATCACATTGTGAAGTTATCCACGTGGAAGGAGAGGCTACACTCTACAGTTGAGTGTATTGCGCGTCTTTCACCAAATTGGTCTTGGTTCCTGAAGATATGGAAACTTGTGTTAGTCTGCGGAAGTTGGAGGATCTGCGAGACTTGGATTAGAAGTTTATAATTCGTAATCATGTCACTGTGGAGCCTTTTAATTTAACCTGATTTTACATCACCAATTTGTAAAAGGAACCTGCCAAATTTTAGAAGCATGAAGAAGTCAAGCCTATCCGGTGCTTGACCTGTTGCACTGAGCATTAGTTGTTATTGCTTCTTGTCTAGGGAAAATGAAACGGGACCTTATGCAACATGATTTAGACGCCCAAGTTAGATTCCTTTCTGCAGCTTCTGCCCAGGTGATTGTTCCAGCATGCATCATGTTATCCTACTCTAGGAAGTGGCAATCTTGAGTATTGGCACTGCCGAGTTCAACATGCTAGCAGCATTTGAATTTGGCTTATTATGCTTGTGACGATGGCGTTTTAGATCATTTCCTGCTCTTCCAAGCTTTAGGGTGCGTAAATGTAACCCTCGTTTGTGGGAACACAGGTTGCGACGAAGAGGTTAGAACTGCTGGCGCATTTCTATCCCGATTTGATTCGTGCGCAGTCTCTTGTTCATGTGAGTGATCCGTTGATATCATTATTTCATAATCTGTTTTACAGTTAGGTTGTAGTCTGTCTGCATTGCAGGTCTTGTTGTATAAAGGGTGGTTTGAGTTCCGCTCTGATATGTAGTTTAAGCTATGGTGTGTGTGTCTTGCCTATTTTCCTCACTTCATCCTAGTTTGAATTAAAAAATTGGAATTCTATAGTTGCAAACTTTAGGGCCGTATGTTAAGATATATTTGCTTTTACTGATGCCTCATTGTTTCTTTTGTTATTTCACGTTTAAATCACCGTCTTGCACTCGTGGAACTGCTCTCATGCTTCGGAAAGTTTCACATCAGTGATTCTCCTAAGTCAGTCTCGCAGATGCTACTGTGATTGACGTGTTCATGTCCTTGGGGTTTCTGTTCTTGGACTTGTCAGACAGCGGTGGCATCTGATTTGTATCAGAAGCGCAGGATGGTCATTAGACAACTCTGCAAGATTTTACCACTTCGTCGAAGCTCCGTGAGTATTCTTTTATACGCTGCTGAGTCGTTCTGAGTAAACATTAATTGGTTTCTTATGCACTAGAGAAACTAAGACTATAGCCAAATCCCCAACTTCAAGTGTCCACCAGGTTGAGGTTTTCATTGTTGAAATACCTCGTTGTCGTTGTGCATTGTCGTCAAATAGGAGCTAACATTTTCTACAAGTTTCTCTTTTTTGGCAATTTATGAGATCTCTAGTAGAAGACATGTCATGCAGCAGCAATACATCTTTGAACACTCAAGGAATATTTCTTTTATGAATTCAGCGGAGAGCAAGCGATTACAAAAAATGAAAAAACAGAAAAAGAAAACGAAGGTTTTATGGTCATGTTATGGGTGCAGATGACAGTTGAAGAGCGGCAGAAGTGGGAAGGAAGTTGTAGTGGACCACAATCTGTTCGAATTTGCGGTGCGCGCTTGCCTCTTGGTGATGATCCTTTGACCACTCCACACATGGAACTTGCGGCATCGTTGGGGTAAGTCAGTTTTAATTGATTTCGAGTGCTTAGTTGGGGTGCTTCAGATTAACTAGGCCAGAAAGCTCAGAATTACCCAATCCTAAGAGGTTGTCTTGAAGTCCCAAACGTGATATCCTAGGTGACCAGATACTTGTGTCGCTGACTTTGTATTTGCTTTCTGTAGTTAGGAGGATTTGTAATGGTAATTGACTTGATACTTTTGTTTTTATTTATATCTTATTTCTCTTTTAAAGATGCATGAATTTAGCTAATCCATATGTCTGAAGAGAGGGCAAAATAATCTTCTTTAAGGCACATAATTATTCCAGATGCACTAAAACACAAAAAGTTCACGATGTGTCGTTGTTACGTTGAACAGGTATATGGTTCAGCTAGTTAGCCTGGCTGCACGTTATATATCGGGGCCTCTCTTACATAGTTCTGGTTTTGCGGTGAGCAATCAGACTTCTCTGTTAACTTGATATCGTGAAGGGCGAAGATTGCGATCTGTGTATGATATAACTTGTACACTTGTTGTGTGGAACTAGTCACTTAGAAGCTTATTACCTTAAGAAATCTTACATTCTTGTGTAATTAGCTAAATTATATGGTGATGCAGGCCTCGTCATCACGTGTGTGGCAAAGATCTTCTTACTTTGACTCAAGACCAGCTTCTCGAAGGTAAACATACTGCTGAGACAAGAATAAGTTGCCTTGCAGGCGTTGATTCAGCTGCCTGTAAGCTTTATGCATAAATCAAGATAATTCCTGCTGCTGGTCTTCCTCTTGTCGGATTTATCGGATTTATCGTGTTGCACCCACTCCGAGAAGGTAGAATAAACTTGGGCATCACTCTGACAGTGCTGTCAGCCTGTAGAGAAGTCTGCTTGCACAACAGTTGCTTCTGGTTTTGGAATCTCCTCAAGCAATACTTCATGTCGTTTACTGAAGTTTGGCTTTTTGGGTTTAGTGAGGAGTTCCCTCTGTTTATTCCACGCAAAGGAGGATGCACCTCTTCCGGTGACGACAACGAGCTCAGCAAGAGTGTTGGTAGCACTCTAGGCTTTTCATCTATGGAGAGCCCACGGATTGATACCGTAGAAAGCACCGCCAGTCTTGTCAATTATGGAACTTCAAGTGGCACTCGAGAGTCATATCCGGACGTTCAGAAAGGCATCAAACTTCTGCGCAGGAGTGTTGGATGTCTATGTGCATATGGTTTCGGGCAGCTTTCTCTTTCTGTACCCACGGACATGTCCATCTTCGATGCTTTCGCGGAGCTCCTCAATATTCTTTCGTCAAAAGAGACACGATCAAGGTTTGTGTGTCTTTCCGAGTTTTAAGAACTTCAGTTGTCACGATTTCTACTGTTGGCGGAGTTGACATTAGGAATCTTATCAAGCTCTTGGAAACATAATAACAGTTAGTGATTGAAATTAGATTTGCTCCGTAAACGTTTAATCTAGATGAATACTTGGGTGCCGGTGATTGTGTCGCTATACATTATGCATAGCCGGTTTCTATTATAGAGTCCATCGCCCATAACTTAGTGTTTATCCTTCGAAATGTTTTGGCCCTGACTTCTTATGGGTTGCTCGTAGAATCAAGCAACCACATTCGAGGCCTCACTACTTGTCAGTATTTGCACATATATGTGTCTGCTAACTTCCCTCGCATTCGAGTGAAGCGAATACTGTGGGGTGTTAGTCATATAGTATCACTTTGTAGGGTGCTAACGAATTAGTGTTATCCTATTGAAAATGTTCATTGTGTTCAGGTCTAGCAGAGGTAACCAACAGCCTAACGGCAAGTTTGGTCTTTCAGAAGGTCCCTTGGCTCGTATGAGAAGTGGACTGGGAGGCATGTCGGACCCAAATCGGTTCTCCCCAGGATCCCTGGTAACATACCTTCTCAGTCCTATCTTGTTCGCTCTACTTGCTTCCTCTCCTTTTTTTATGAAATTGACTGTTGCATAACTTTCTTGCAAAACACCATGGTACCTTGAAGTGTGAGATTGACATCTAAGGTTCTATTTGTATAGAGCCAGAGAACTCCTAAGGGGAAGGTGACTAGCTGGAACGGCTTCTACGACGTCAGTACAGAATCAGAGTTCATGGAAGCTGGGCCAAACTCGTCTGACAGCACTGTAGATGGTTGGAATCTTGTGGAGCATCCCAGACTGCCTCCTCCACCTTCTAACTCTGAGGATGTAGAGCACTGGACGCGGGCAATGTTTATTGATGCCACCAAGTAATGGTTTTACCTACTGTTCAGTTTGTCCTCTGTACAGTACCCTATCCAGGTCTCAAATGTACATAATATATGGCTCGTTTAATTAGCTCTAATAGGACCATTCTGGGGATATAAACCAATTGTGTAGATTTGCATCCAATTATATTCATACTTGGATTTACCAATCGACTTTGTTTCGACCATGTAGTTCACGGACTCAGGACATTGACTTGCTTAGAAGAATGGTATGTAGACCAGTTTGTTAGAAGCTAACTTACAAGGTTCTGGTAAAACTGTAGTACAGGTTCTTGACCTCTACTGCACAAAATGGATGATCATGGACTCTTACTTCGCATCCTGGCTGCACGGGTAGTGAAGCATAGACTATGAGGAAGTTTGTTTAAGTACCCAAGGCAGGTGATAGTCTCGAAGTATGTGAGCGTAGTTCCTGGTGACAAACATGTTGAGGAGACGTACTGTTTGTGTACACTAATGAAATGACAGGCGGTCCTGTGGCAGTTACATGTTGAGCATCGAAGAGATATGTTATTCAATTTTGAAGAATTCATTCCATATTCTAACGATTTCAAATCCACTACGTAGTATTCTTGATAATAGATGCCCATTAAGATACCTACATTGAAATGTTGCATAAACTTACCTTGGATTCCAACATCTTTGTTGAAGGGTGCATGTTCTGAACTTGAAGAATGCTGTATATTGTGAACCCCTAGCTTAATGCAATGTGCACGATAGTTATACATTATGTTTTGAACTATATCATACATGCTACTCGGAAATTACCTTGTAAGAAATATGTTTTAGAACGTATATTGGACTTGATTTGCATGTAGGAATTTTGTAAAATTTGTATGTAGGAAAGGACTTGATTTTCTTCCATTCACATATGCCTACAGGTATGTTCCTAGTGAGTGCACATATTTGATTAAAACATGAATTTTTACATAAGTTTAAAAGTAACATATCTGGAATCCAAAGAAGAGATAAATGCAACTTTATATTTTGGAATGTTTGTACAGAACCCACATATTTGACAAATATTATGCACATGCGTTGTAGTCATGAATTTCAAAAACAGAATATATTCTTTTGTATAGAGTTATTCTGTGGAAGATTTAAAAAAATGTTGAATGCCAAATACCAATTAAGGTATACTTTATATATATATATATATATATATATATATATATCTAAATACAAAATAACCAATCAATCAAGGATTTTGTGAGACGAACAAGGACAGGTGTCCAAGAAATATAAACAAGTCCTTTTACTTTTTTTTATTAATAAAATATTCAATTGTGTTTATAAAAAATACTTTCAAAATAAGAAATTAAATGGATTTTTTAATTGCAATTACATTTAAGTGGTAATAAATAAATAAATACATAATATTACATACTAAAAGATAACTTCAACAACTTGGTCAAAAATCCTCAACATCATAATAGTGTTCATGTCAAGTCCTGAGAAGCTTTTCAAGGTCCAGGTCAGTGGTAGAATCCAGCGGATAAAATCTATCTATCTATCAATCTATCTATAAATATATATGTATATAGTTGTGTATATATTGGATACCTATACTCTCAAAACGAAATGGAATGCTACTTGGAAGTACATTGCAAAAGCTTGGCGGGTTGATTAAGGATTCAAGTGCGTGGATTGAGCAGTGAGGGCTGTTTGTGCCGTCGCTTCACTGAATTTGTATAGTAGAGTGATTTCTGGCGTATTCCTCCGCTATCATCTTTACAATAGCCTTCCTATCGGCCGAAGAGAGGTGCTCCAGTCTTGCCTGAGGTCCAAGCAGCCTCGGGGATGAACTGAAGTTGTATTGCCTGGCCCTCCTGGTACTGCTGCAGTGATGCAGACCTGCATCGTACGCCAGAGCAGCCTCCTTCTCTGTATCATACGAACCCAGCCACACCTTCTCATTCTTTCCAGAAATCCTCATTTCACACACCCACTTGTCTCTCCGTGGGCGAATCCCTGTGTATCCGCTTGGGCTACGCAGGGTAAATATCCTCCTCCTCGTTCCAGGGGTGCGAGACGATGTTGCAGGGGTGATCTCCGCCTGCGAGTGAGTGTTAGAACTAAATCTGCGGATCTAACGTGCAGCTGACGTACATTGTGTGGAGGAAGAAAACATCATCGAGTTACAGATTGAAGCGGTTGGAATTCTTACCGTTACTGTTCTCCTCAATCGAATTTGACTTAGTAGCCCTGAGAAATTTCTGTACGCAGTAAACATGCCCGCTGCGATTTTCCAGCCTCGTCTCCGCAGCATCCCCTCCCCGAACCATGGATAGGTCGGATGCATCCGGCCAATGGAAGTCGAAGGTCGAGATATAATTATCTGGCGTGCTTGACAACGCAAACAACCCTGTCCGCATACACAAGGCTCTAATTCCGTGCGATCATCAACAGGTGGAGGGATTGCGTGACTTGTTTCCCAAAGAACATCCTCGTCTTGAAAATCCTCAGGTGTGAGATAGAGTTCCCGATCATGGGGCGATGTCGCTAGAGGATCCAGATCCATTCCATCATGGGAACTACCAGCCTGGAACTCGGCAAAAACAGCTTCACCGAAATATTGCCGAGTGGAAGCCTCCGAAACGTCTTCCGGGGTATCAGGTTCAAACAATAATGAGAATCTCTCACGGAGTAGGTGCTTCACCTCTACTGGCGCCTTCAACCCCCCAAATAAGTTCGCCACCCCGCGCACAACCCCCCATCGACATGGTGTGCTCTGTTCTCCCATGCCTGCTTGACTGCTCATAACCCAGCCCTTTGCTATGTACCAAAAACTTATGTGAGTGCAATCAGTAACACATTTAAACTCAGCACAGACAAGGAACACTCGCCATGACGCTACACAATCAAACGCCCTCTAACCCACTCATTTGTACATGCTCAAAGGCGGTTTCCCTACCGCAACAGCGTGATTCTGCAACAGGAATCCTGTAGAATCATGCCAAAGATAACCAGACGACCAAACGTTTATTCAACACAACTAACTACGTTGGACAAAATCTCCACATTCCAACAATGGAACAGAGTAAGTACACCCAACTGTCAAGGGAGACAAGATTCCTCCGTGCACAACTTACACCAGCCACCTCATCGACCCTGTTGCGTTGCTCGAAGATTCTCCATCGACGAACGAAACCCCGCTCATCGAGCTCTCCTCTACCGCCTTAACGACAGAACAGCGAAATTAGATCCCACGCACCCACTTGACAGCCAACTAAGAAGCGCCCGGTGGTAGCGACTTGAACCGCCAGCCTTACGGTGGCAATCCTGGGTCAAGTCGCGTACTAGGAAAAGCACGACGTGCGACGCGATGCTTGACCCTCAGGCAGAAAGATAGATGCAATTGGACCTGATGTTGGGGAGCCAGAACTAGCATTATTTGGTGAGAGAGGTAAGTTGGAGGTTGAGATCGAGGGTCCACTTGCCCCTGCTGCTCGCACATTCGTCCTCTTCTACCGACGGGCTTGTCGGTTCTTACCGACACGTCCGACGTCTGCGGTCCCCCTTGCTCCGCAGCCTGCGACAGTTCTGACTGTGCAGCGGTGCACATGGCGCTGTTTTATATGGTCGTCGGTAATGGATCACATTCCGTGGATGAATAATCTTAGGTCGGGATTGATGGATGGCTGATCGATGGTGCAAAGTGGGAATCTGCGTGGGAAAGCCAAAGTTTCCTTCTAGATTCAGAATCTTGTGGTGGTATTTGAAATACAAAGTATAAATCGTGTGTCGTAGTTTTCTTCGAATGTTGTGTGATTTGGAAACCAAATTTGGATAACACCCAAAAGAATCATCTAACCAAGTAAAAATGAAACTACCCAAAATAGAATTGGTTTGTTATTATAAAAGAAAATAATCCAGGAAGTTGTTGTGTGATAATTATATCTACCATGCATGATTTTTTTTTTTTTTTTTTTTTTTTTTTTTTTCATTTATTCTTCTAATAATTCTCTTGTATAAGTTTTACCAATGATTTGTTCTGCATTCAAAGAAAATTCCCAAACTTCACCTGTGGAATGGAACTAAAATACTTAGTAAATTTTATGCAAAAAAATTATATATATATATATATATATATATATAGAGAGAGAGAGAGAGAGAGAGAGAAAGAGAGAGAGAGAGAGAGAGAGAGAGATGTATGCATAATTTTTTTTCTCAAGAACAAAAATAATTCTTAATTAATTCTTTAAACCACATTAAGTGTTAAATTACTTATATCTCAATGTTTATGTCTTCTATTTCCACTTATATATTTTTTAAAGTTATAATTATTGCTAAAAAATTATGAAAATATTTGCATGTAAGTATACAATTTTTTAAGCAAAAATTGAAGAAAGGATTGTAAAACTAAAGTGCAAAGTTAATCTCTTATTTTATTTTTTAAAGATATTTTTAATTCAATAGAAATCCTATTACATATATTGTAATTTTCCAAAAGAACTTGCTTTTTTTATTTTTTATCTTCTTGCTTTTTTTATTGATAGTAATTTATTAAAATTATGAAACATATGGATATGCAAAATGATTCTCTAAATGATTCTCTAATTTCAATATGTATATCTTTTAGGTTGCAATAAAATGTTGATCATATTAGATTTGATTGCTCCAAAAATATTTCACAAAAAAATAAAAAATAAATGGTCCAATAAGTAATGGTTTATTAATTTTGATAATGTATTTTAATTAAATTACTTTTTGTTGAAGTTTAATAACAAGCTTTATTATGTTGATAAATTTTCAAAGTTTAAACTTATTGCTATCAAATTTATCTGAAGTAGCAACTTTTAATTTTTAATTTTTTTCAATGGATATCACCATATTCTTATGATGATTAGCAACATAAAGAATCACTTGATGTAGAAGAAACTACCACTATCTTTGTATTCTCAAGATCAATCACTCCAAATATTGTTTGTGGTGGTAAACAAAGCTGATAAGTTGCAAGTATTAATTCTTTTCTTGAATTTCCACGTTGTATTATAAGATTTATTATTAGCAAAGATATAGCATTTATAGAAAAAACTATAAAATACTAATTTTTTTACAAGAAACAGAAAACCAGAAGGGAGAGAACAAAACTAAATAAAAATTTAATGAGAATACCAACTTAGCTTGTGATCAAGTTAGTCTGGGGGTGGTGGACCTGCAGTCAGGTGTTTGGGCATTCATACCACCACTGGAGAAGCTTTTAAAGCACCATGTCAACCAGGTGGGATAAAAATATAAAAATATAAAAATATATGTAAAACACTCTCCTACAATCTAAAACGAAATGGAATGCCATTCCAAGTACACATCAGCGAGGCAACCGAGTGACAGCTTGTGCACGTCCAGTGAAAGATCTTCGCAGGTTGATTAAGGATTCACACTGTGTGGCTTGAGTAGTGAGGTCTGTTTGTGCCGTTGCTTCACTCAATATCTCTGGTATAGTAGTTTCTGGCATATTCCTCCGCTATCACCTTTACAATAAACCTCCTATCGACCGAAGAGAGGTGCTCCAGTCTTGCCTGAGGTCCAAGCAGCCTCGGGGATGAACTGAAGTTGTATTGCTTGACCCTCCTGGTACTGCAGTGATGCAGACCCGCATCGTACGCCAGAGCAGCCTCCTTCTCTGTATCATATGAACCCAGCCACATCTTTTTCTCAGTCGTTTCAGAAATCCTCATTTCACACACCCACTTGTCTTTCCGTAGGCGAATCCCTGTGTATCCGCTTGTGCTACGCAGGGTCAATGCCCTCCTCGGCGTTCCAGGGGTGCGAGAAGACGATGCAGGGGTGATCTCCGCCTGCCAGAGAGTGTTAGGACTGGATCTGTGAATCCAACGTGCAGTTGATGTACATTGTGTGGAGGAATCAAACATCATCGAGACTGCAGAAAAGATTGAAGCCGTTGAAATTCTTACCGATTCTGTTCTCCTCTCTCGAAATTGTCGTCCAATCCTTGAGGATTTGCTGTACGCAGAAAGCATGGTCAATACGATTCCCCAGTCGGAGCGTCGCCTCTGCAGCATTTCCAAACGCACCTCCTCGTCTTGGAAGTCCCCAGGTGTGAAACTGACTTCCCCATCATGAAATGGTGTCGCTAGAGGATCCAGTCACATCCATTCACTTAGGAAACTATCAGTCTGCAGAAATTCTTCTCCTTGTAGGGTATCCATTCCCTGATTGCGGCGCCTCTCCTCGAGTGAAGCCCTCAACCGCCAATATACTTTCAGCATCCCAAGTAGAACCCCCCATCGACTTGCTGTGATCGGTTCTCCCATGCCTTCTTAAGACTCTTTCCCCACCGCAACGGCGTGATTGAGCAAAACGAACTCTGCAGAAGCAATGGCAAAGTCAACAAGACAATCAAACGTTTATTCAACACAACAAACTGCGTTAAACAAAAACTCCACACTCCAAAACTGGAACAGAAAAAGTACACCCATCGCTCACGGGAGACGAGGTTCTTCGCTCCTTAACTGCACCAGCCAGCGCATCCACCCAGTTGCGGTGCTCGAGTATTCTCCTTCGACGTACGAAATCCCGTTCATGTAGCTCTCCTCTACCGCCTGAACGACGGACTAGCGAATTAAACATCGCCCAGTGGTGGATGATCTGTACCACTAGTGTCATGGTGGCGACTCTCAGTCAAGTTGTTCGAGAGAAAAAGCACGGCATGCGACGCGGTGCTTCACCACCAACGGTAAGACGGAGTTGGACCTGATAACGGGAAGCTAGACCTGGCAAGATTGGGTGCGAATGAGACGCTGAAATCCAGGGTCAACTTGGCCCTGCTCGCTCATCCGTCCCTCTTGTACCGACAGGCTCTTCGGTAAGTACCGATACCTCCGAAGTCAGCGGCCCCTCTCGTTTCTCGGCCGCCAGGACAGGATGAAGTTGCGTGGATGAATTATTCTATCTATTTCTGGATGGATGATGGTGCGAAAGGGAATCTGTGTGGAAAAGCTAAAGTTTGCTTCTAGATTCGGTCTCTTGGGGTGGTATTTGATTTTATGAAATAAAGTGTGTCTTAGTTCGCTTTGATCGTTGTGTGATTTGGGAACCAAATATGGAATGTGAAGAATAACATTCAAACAAAGCATCCAAGCAAATCAAATGAAATTATCAAAAATGGGATTAATTTGTCATTATGGAAGAAGTTAGTCTAACAAGTTGTGTAAAGTTTCTTTCTATTGTTTATGTATCAATATCAAAAATAATTAATTAAAGAATATTTTTAAAATTATAAAACCGTGTTTTTATGAAATAAAAATAAAACAAAAATATTATAATTAAAGAAAGTAATAGCGATGAATAAAAAAAAATATATTTTAGAATAAATCTTAGAAGAAGTTAATTTCATTCACAAAGACTTCCAAAAAAATGTAGAATATTTTAAAAACATTGTAAATACTTCCCATTGAAAGAATAAATAACAAATATTGTTCACAAGATTCTACATGAAACTTTCTTAGTTGATTTGGCTTATAAATTGTTCATTTACAAATAAGTGGGGCTTTAATTATTTTGTGAATTGTAATATTTTTTTTAAAAGTAAAAGAATCTAAAAAAATTTATTTGATTATATGATTACATTTTAATATGAATTTACTATTTCTGCCTATATGATTACATTTTAATAAAATTTTTTCTATTTCCTCTTTTGATGATTATGCTATTTACAATATATTTAATAATTATGGTGTCTCCCTTGTTGGAACCCTATTCTTACTTGTACTTGTAGTTTAAGCTTACCTTGGCTTTATAACTTGCACTTTGTTAATTTTTATGCAAACATTGATTTTTGGGCAACAACCATCTTTCATAGATATACTACACATGAAACCAAACAAGAAACTGAACCAAAAAGTTTTAACTTGAAAGCTAATAAGAACTTCATTAAATCAGATGACTACAAGATTAATATTTAGAATGTGAGCGAAAGCTCCAAAAGATGTGTTGTTAAGATTGAGGGGTCCTTTAGCCTTGACTCCTATATATATTAGGTATTAAATAGCTTCTCAAGAAATTTTCATGTTGCTTGAAGATGAAGCAATCTTAAGAAGCTTTGTATCAAGTTTTCATATAGCTTAAAGCTAAAACAATCTTAAAAAGCTTCTTAGACAACTTCTTTAATTCTCTTAGAAATTTTTAGAACTTATTAGAATATTCTATAAATCTTTTATAACATAATAGAATATTCTAAGAATATTTTAAAAATCTTCTTGTTAAATATCCATAACATCACTTATCCTTTTAACTCCAAATTCTATAAAGAGTATTGATTTTATATATATATTTTTTATATATATATAACATCATAGTAGTAGCTTCATAGAAAAGTCATTCTAAAATAGATTTGGATTTTTCAGGATAGCATCGATGAAACTCTTATACCTTTTCTAGTGCATTAACTAATTTTTTTATTAATTCCTATGTATGCTCATTCATATCATAGCTGCAACCATGAATAAAATACTCTAACTTGTCTTTTCTTCTTCAAGAATCAAGGATATTTTCTACTTCATATTCCA